CACCCCCCCTCCCCACTTCATCCCCTGTGTCGCCATCATCGTGGTGGCAGGCTGCCTTGTGTCAGAACACTTCTTCGTACTCTGATTGGCTGTTTATTCGCGCTGTGATTGGCTGACAAAGCATTACAGATGGACAGATGGACTTAGGCTTTTATAATATTAGAGAGTGTGTGTGTGTGTGTGTGTGTGTGTGTTTGTGAGTGTGTGTATGTATGTATGTGTATATATATATAAATAAATATTTTTGCAAAAAAAAAGAAAAGCAGCATGTTTGCCCAATATGGACCATGATTTTTATAGTGATCCTTAGTGCTGACTGCATTTAATCAACTTCATAGCTGATTTCCATTCCTGAGCACATGCTGCTTTGGCAGCAGTTTAACGATAGCCAGTAGGTTTAGTAAGGTTTCCTTGTATGTGATTATAAGATACTGTTTTCCCCTTGTCAGCTTGGGAGAAAAAAACTTCATCTTGTATTTGAGTAAATAATGGTATAAAGTTAATGCACTGTACAAAGAACAGCATTTTCATCTTTGATGTGTAACATTATACCTATTTTCTTTGCCAAATATCTTCTTATGGCTTGTTACATATATGCAAATGATCGCATTTATGTAGGACTTTGACATATTTGTGGTTTGTCGTCCTTATATATATGTCATTGTTACATATAGATAACTTTAATCTGATGCAGTACTTTTCAATATATTCTGTATTGTATCTGGCAATTATGATAATGATTGTGTGTTGGTGTGTAAGTCCTTTTAAAAAGAAATCAAAGTTGAGGTAACGGATGTGAGAGTGTTCTCTTGTAAAGTCTAAGTGGATTTAGGATTTGTTAGTGTGTGGGAATAATTTTCAGTTTGCCTAAAATTGCCACTCCTTTTACATATCATCCTTATAGTGCTGCATACTGTAGTGCATTACTAAACATTAAGCTTTCGGGACCGGAGTGGTGGGGGAAGGATGGGAGAGAGCACTTTTTCCCTGACCAGCAGCAGGTTCAGATCAGAAGAGTTGACAACTGATCTATATTTAGACTAACTTGTTCTAAGCCTTGCTGTTTAAGTAAGAGGAAGCACTACTTATTTCAAACGTGCACTGGAGCATGTTTCAAAAAAGAGACTAATAATGTTTCATCATTCTGTAGTTAGAGCTGGAAAAGCATACTGACTATTCATTATTCTAAGTGCATGATGAAACCTGTAGGATATATCGTTCATTAGAATTTTGTCATACTTGCTTTGAATTTGGCTTTGGCTCTATCCACCTGTTTATTAGTGTGTGTTAAGTGAAATAGATGAATGCTTAACAAGTAGAATTGAAACTAGAATTAATTTATCTAGATAATTTCCTTCGAAGCAGAAGCCTGCATTTTTTTTTTCAGGGGTGGGACAGCAAGAATTAGGGGGAGGGAGCAATTATCTGGCAACTTTTATTTCATTTGGTCATCCTGCTCTTGTTAACTACCATTCAGGTCTTTATTGGCATGACTTGTCTAACTTGCCTTTAAATCTTTTCTTGCTTTAATTCCTGAAGACTTTTAATATCAGTAAAGCAATAAGAGAAAAATGCTTATCAAAAGAGAGGCTTTGGCAAAGTAAATCACTTAGAAAATGAGTGACTGTTTCTTTCAGGAAATGAATTTTAGGGAGCTTTGCATTGTTTTTAATACTGCCCAGCTTTTTAAAACATTAGACAAAATGAGGGTGTCTTTTTCTTTCTTTTAATAGGCTATATGGATTATTTCACCCCCTTTTATGTTAGTTAGAATCTTGTATAATTGATATACATTAAATCATTGCTGGCAGGGGGGCTTGGAAATTAAATGCATTCTCACTCTGTGACTACAAAGATATATGTTAATATTCATTGAAACATTTATGTGATCTTTTTGACAGTTTTAGTGCCTCTTTGTGTTTTATGAGCCAAATCATACTCCTGTCTGGTCGGTTTTCCTGAAC